CACTAAGTTGATAATAAGAAGCTGCAAGGTGGATGTTTCATGGATTTGGATGCAGCCACAGAAAACCAGTGGTTGGTAACAGAAAGAAAGTGTGAGAAAAAGTGTATATGTAACTATACACTTTTCTGTTCAAGAGTCCAACAGCAGAGGGAAAGAAACTGTTCTTGTGGCGGGAGGTTCTAGTCCTGATGGACCGCAGCCTCCTGCCTGAGGGGAGTGGTTGGAACAGTCAATGAGCAGGGTGAGAGGGGTCGGCTGTGATACGACCAGAACGGCCTCGAGCTCAGGCCACGTACAGGTCCTGCAGCGATGGAAGGCTTGCGGTCGATCACCTTCTCTGTTTGTCCCTGACTGTGGCTCCAGCGAAACCACACGGTGAGGATTATGGGACTTTGATATAATTAATAGCCTCCAAAGGTGGCGTTCAGACAAATGAGACTAAAAACCATCTACATTCACGCATGCAAGGGCTATTCCACAATCCGGCCGTGCTCCGTGTCTTCTTCCTTCATACTACTTAGAAGTGTGTGTTTTTGGAAAACAGGTCTGGATTTGCATCTTTAGTTGCCCTTTTTTGGTCGTTATTACAGCTGAGGATTGGCAGTGTGGGGGTTGGTCCTCTCCCTCTTTTTCACTTTTTTTATCAGAAAAAGTTTATATAAAAATGGGACAATGGTCAAAAACTATATGCATGTGATAGATAACTGAACTAAGAGTGAGGAACTAGTGAGATGGATTTTATTACGAGTTGCAGTTTTCGTGGTTTGAAAATTAGGCACACCAGCTTTAATCCAATTTTTACTTCATAGTCAACTTGATCAAAAATTTCACAGACATTCTTGACATCAAAGCCCGTAACATTTTACTTGCTCAAGATTACACCGGACCTGAAATTAATCCAAGGGTTTCAGTTCGCGATTCACTCTTAATATTTGGAGAAGCCTTCTCGTTCAAAGACATCGCGGACACATCATCAGACCCAATTGCTTGGGTCGGTGTGAGTGGAACCATCTGGACTGAATTAGAACTCCAGTATGCGGCCCTTGTCTGCAGCTCTATGAAAATACACACCTGCCGGGGCCCGTTCGACCTGCCTATTTCCAATGTTTGTTATTTCAATGCCAAAAGGAAATGTTTGAAACTGAACCTGCACTGGACTGAATGGGCAGTTACGGTAGAATACCAGGAGCTTAACGGAAGGTGTGTCCACAATCGCTGTTAGCAATTACAGATTGTTATTTGAGGGCACGTTTCCCCGAAAAAGTGAGTAATTTGAAGCATGTCTGCGCTAATGTTGATCTGGGCACGTAACGGTACAATAGACTGTTTAAGAACTCACTGAATTATGTGATCAGGGTTTGACCAATCCACTGGATTTTCAACACAAATCAATATCCATCTATCTTCTTCTGCTTTATCCGTTGCAGTGTCAAGGGAGCAGCAGTCTAAGTAGAGACACCCAGGATTCTTTCTCCACACACATTTCCTCCAGCTCATCCGGGGGAATCCCAAGGCATTCCTGGGCCAGCCGAGAAGCATCCGAAACTGATGCCTGAGCCTGGCAAGTCCTCAACTGACGGGGAATTTACAACTTTCACAAGGTTGATTTTAAAATATTGGTAATAATATGTAAATAATAATTAATATAATATAGCTCTACCTTTCTGTGCGGAGTTTGTGCGTTCTGCCCGTGTCTGCATAAGTTTCCTCCTGGTGCTCTGGTTTCAAATAAAAACATGTACATATCTCCGTGGGACTTTTCTCGTTAGTTAAAATAAACATATTCAGACTTTAGTGCAACAAACGCTCCCCACTCTAACCCCGTACTGATTGGTTGGAACGGCCACGTGTTACGCTGGTCCTCGATAAGAAGAACCACTGCTCACCCACTGCGCAAGACTGGGAGAACCAAAGCGGGCCAAAGTACTTCGCCTTTGCTAATATTTGGGACTGCCAGAGTGCGTCAGATGACAATGAGCACAAGAGTCACGATGCAGTTGTTTAATATATGTGTTTGTATAAGACAAAATATTCAAAGGTTCTTGTCTAGTAAGTAAGTAATTAATTTGTATTTATATAAGGCCTTTCACAGACCAGAGTCACAAAGCGCTTTACAATTGTTGTGGGCTTTTGTTTCTCGCTCAGGAGATGGGAACAAGGTCACAATACATGAGGCGCAAGCAGACCTATTGTACATGATTTTAGTGGTAGGGGAAACCGGAGCACCGGGAGGGAACCTACACGGGCACATGCAAACGCCACTCAGAAAGCCCCTGTTCCGACTGGGATTCAACCACCCGGGACCTTCTTGCTGAGAAGCGAGAGTGCAATCACTCAGCCACACATGCTAGTCTGTAATGTTTAGTTTATAAAGCACATTTTTACAGACCAAGGTTACCAAGGTTTCTGTTGCTTTATTTTACCTAACCATATTGAACGTAAGATCAGCCTGATCCACACGTAATTAGATGGTTTTGGCTGAGAACAGTGGGAAATTGTTAGTGGGATTGTTATCTAATATCTAATTGTTAGTGTCAGTGGGAAATTGATTTAACTTCATCTCGATTTGAACGCTTTGGAAAAACAACAACCTAAGCCTCTGCATACGTTCCAGGTTATGGTGCCTCATATGGAATTCTTCTCATCAATACATGCTTGAGACATCTTATGGAAGAGTCTATACATTATACAATTAATTTTACATAACGCGCAGCTGATTTTATCTGCATTAAACACCGCCGGTAACCGAGTCCTCTCTACATCATTTATTTGCTCTTTAGGAGGGGGCCAAAGAAAGCTGACAGTTGTAAGCCCCCAAGCGGATGGTTATACAACACCATACCTTCCGTGTTGACAAGTTGATTGGCAGAATTGCTGGATGTTTACACGAAAATTCCCTGGTTTGATTGGCGTAGGTTCAAGAGAGCATCAAATGGAGGGAAGATCACATTGTACATTGCACCAATACAGGGAGAATTGGATATAACTCCTCTCGAAAAAAATGCAGCTGAATTTAGTAAAATGCCTAAAGCAACTTGCGAAATCTGCCAGGAAACCATGCCCTTACATCTTTTGCCTCTCCATGCAGTGAGTTGCGAAATCAAAGAAATGGACGTGAGTAAATGTTGATCCTTTTGAATCTGTATGGTTCGTTCTTTGGTTTAAAAATGTTTCGTTGAAATATAAATTACAGAGGGGTAATACTGTGCATCTGTAATTCCATTCTAAGAAAATTATGGAAATACTAAAATAAGAAATCAAATCACAAAATATATTGTTTTTCGTATCATGCAATACTTGCTTAACAATCAACAGTGCAGCCTACGTAATATAAAGGCACATCCTCTCTCTTTCTCCGGCTGGGCAGTGGCCAGCTCATGGCACTAGACATTTGTCCCATAAGGGGCTCGCTCGGTGGGTGAGGTCTTCCTTGAGAGTGCTCACAAAACATTCTGGCTATTAAACAACATAACAGACATAAGTGCTCACAAATGCATGCATAATTTTTTGACCAAGTTTGACTTCAGAGAACCGCAATAAACTAATGGGTGGGGCTACCTTAACTTTATACTACTGTACGTATAATTTCCTCGTCCAGACTTTGGCTCACTGCTGGTCTATTGATGTGCTTTGAATTAAATTGCGCACACGTTGCTGTATCATAGTTTGATGCTGATTTAGGTTCAGAGCCACTGGAGCAGTGTCTGACTAAATTGATAATTGATCTTGCTGTCGGCAATCATTAATATAGTAATAGTCCTCAGGCAGTGCTCCCTCTTGTTAGAAATTATTTGTTCTACATACTCCTTTTCACATTAAAAGAGTCTGTGCTACTAGGAATGTTTTAGAGAGAATAATTTAATAGGAGGTGCTAGGTTAGTCCCAAGGTGCTAAAGTACCCCCAGCCCCTTCCTGTGACGGGGCACACCTTTTTTTGAAATGTATGAATGAAAAGGCCTTTATATTTTAAAAAGCAATTTGCAATTTGGTTGAGTCTCTTTAGATTTGGACAGATTTAAATCTTTGTTGGAATGTTTGTTTGCTTGTTTATTTTAGAAATCTGATGTTGAGTGTGTCGATCTTGATGAAAAACCCAATGCAAAAATCCTCACGAAAAACAACATCCAAAGAAGTGAACTCCACGCCTCAGCCGACATCCAAAGTCAGTCACATGTTTTCTTAGTATTATTTCCTTTTTAAATTTATATTTCACATAAATGTGAGCACTTGCTTAACAGTTGATGTCTCTTCTTTATAGAAAGTGCTGTGCCCTATATGTGACCAGCTATTCGATTTGGATAAAGTGGAGTTTCATGCTAGTTTTTGTGTTGAGAGGTAAGGTATCTTTTGTGTATACTCACTGTTTAGGTTGTGTATTAACAATACAATTTAGCTTTTCAATTTCTCAAATCTTCTCTTGTAGCATTTGCGGTGATGATGACAATAAGGCCCAAGGTTCTGATAAGATTTTTGAGTCAGCCCCGAGCACTTCAGCAAACTGGAAAAATGCTAAAGATCCAAAAAGGGCCATTTCACTTTTTAATAAGGAACTACTGAAGAGTAATAGCTCAAAGCCAGCAAATCGTTTTACTTTCGACTGAAGAAACTGGCCCAGAGGAACAGGATAGGTCCTATGTGAGCTTTTATAAAAGCAACGGTGTGGAGTGGGCATCTCCACTAGCGTGTACACTTGCAGGTGTGTCAAATAAAAGTTAAATATTTGTTGGATTGTTTTTTAACTTTCATATTTCTTGCTCTGATTATGTAGGTGATGCAGCAGTGGAACTGGGTGTCAATAGGCATGTTATGTCTACATTAATGAACAAACTGAGGAGTGGATTCCACATCAATGTTGGTACGCATGTTCTTTTTGGTTTCTATGCAAAATACATTGCTATTGTGTTTGTAAATGTATTATTTAATCTTAATTAGGACATGGTCCAGTTACAAAAATATTTGATGGCCAAAGCGACCATTTGGTTCCATCAAATTCAGCAACGATGCTAGAGGGTGAACTGTTTCTCATGGCGGGAAGAATGCTGGGCCATTGTTTCCTCTACGGAGGGCCTGGTTTCCCTGGTCTGAGTCCTGCCATAAAGCATGTACTGTCTGGTGGCTCCATTGAAACTGCTACTGTTGTAGTAGAGGACTGTCCTGACTTGGACCTGAGAGATACTATTGATCTTGTAAGAACCTATCTTTTGTGGTGTTACTTTTATGAAGTTTTGCATTTGTCCCACCTTTACTTGTTTTGTCTCCGACATGTAGCTGAAGAAAACTGACCTTAAAGAAGAGGAACGGCAAAACCTGGTTAATCTCTGTCTTGCTTGGGATTTGCCTCTTCCTACTAAAGACAACATTAAATGGCTCCATGAGAAGCTCCTCCTTCATGCGGTAGTGTCACTGAAGTAGTAGTAGTAGTCACTGATGCCTGACCTCTGTTCAGATGGTCAGGCCATGGTATTTTATGATACAAGCAAATTAAATGGCAAAAATAATGAATATGACTAGGAAAGAAGTACGGAATGTACAAAACACTCCAATTCCTGTACATGAGCAGTTTGTAATTTCGGACTAACACCAACCAATTAGCTATACAATTATTACTGCGTTACAACAATAAATTAGCTCACACTATTACACTTAACTTAAGAACTCTTTTTTTTTTTTTTTAGGTTTTAGGTCGGGCATCCAAACAAATAAAACAGATTCGAAAAGGGCTGAAAGAAACGGGTATCTGGCCTTTACTCTGTGAGAGAGATGATGTGGTGAAATTGTTTTTCCCATCAGAAGTTGATGCAGAGATCACAGCGGAGGTTTTTTATGACTTTTGCTTTAATTGCTGTAATTGCAACTATTCTTAATACATTAAATACATCTCCCTCTTTTCTCTAGATGATTCTTTCGCCGATTCAATGGCCAATTCCAAGCACAGATTCTGACTCGGATGACGAAGATGACTGCTCTGTTGAAGAGATAACTCGTACCTGTGACTATTTAAAGACTTACGTTAATCAAGGTATTTTGTCCTTCTGAATCAAGACCTCTGAAGTTTCCCTTTCATCCAACTTTTTTGTTCAACAGCTTCTTCGGAAAAAAGGAAAAGTCTTCTCAAGTTCTGGGTGGGCTGGGAAGTCCCTCAAACTCGGCTTACTGTTAAAGTCCAACGTGGCCAGTTTCCTAGATCCATGACGTGCATGGACACCATCAAGTTACCGTCACATTACAAAACCTACCAAGAGTTTGAAAAAGACTTGGATGCGGTCATTGCAACCTGTGACACCGGTTTTGGATTGCCTTGATCCTTGTTGCCTATTAACATATTCAGGGTTCCATGTTTTAAAATTAGTTTTAAATGTTTTGATCGCAAAGCAAACTGTTCAATTCATTGATTAACATATTGTGGTACAATGTATTGTTGTTCATTTTAAAATTAATTGTTGAACCTCATATTTGCCTCAGAATGGCCAGAAAATCCAAATAGTTCTGACAAGTCAAGTCAAATAAAATGTTCCACTGGTTATTTTTGTATTATTTGCACCCATGTTTGTGCCTAATACAGGAATCAGCAACGTTCAAGATTTTGTTTTATTGCAATGCAAGTAAGTCAACAAATGGTCACAGCATTTTGGCTTAAAATGTAGGGGGGCCATTATCAAAATATGGGCATTTTCTGTCCGGGAAAAAAAAAAATCATGTACAATATTTGTACATAATCACCAGGACATGTTCAATACCCTCTTAGTATTACTTTCATTGTTTTATAATTTCAGATATTTTCAATTCTGTGTCATTGGTTTTATAACTATTTTTATGACAAACTAGGCAATAATGCAAGAAAACATTTTCTCATTTGGGTAAAATTTTGCATTTAGGAAATTAAACAATAGCCATTTTGTCTAAGAACAATATTTTATTAAAATAAGGGAGAATTAAATTAAGCCCAGTGTTTTTATAACACCATTGACAAAAGTGTAACACCAGTGACTTTGCATCAGATGCCTCCATTCATTTAATGTGGGGCTGTAACACCAGTGACCGTAACACCAATGACGAATTTAAATCAACTGTCCCTTTTTCTTAAGTATTTCTATGTCATTCCTGAACAAAGGTGGTGTATCACAGCAATGTTGGATAGTTTTAGCTGTGAACCTGTTTTTTGCCCTAGAGAAATTCTAACTGATGCAAACAGCCGTAACACCAATGACATTTCAAAATGACCCACAGTATAAAATCACACTTTAAAGTTACTTCTTGTTCTTAGTGAGGAAATTATGTCCTCCTTTATATTTCCCAGGATTAGGCTTTTAACTTGGTCTCATCAGACCAGGAAAATATTTCTTCACATCTTTTTTTAACCTTACAAATCCTGGAAAGTAATGCTGATAACACCAATGACACAAAACTGAGGGACAGAGATTTTTCTTTACTATTTTAATTAATAGTTGTGATTTTTCATATAAGATCTGCAGATTATTGAAGACTATTCTCTGTTTGTTTGGCATTGGCAAGAAACATATTTATAGACTTATTGTAAATATTCATTTTAACTGCACAAAAGGTGTGAAAATGGGGTCGGGGACATTGGGTTTTCAACATATACTGGATATTCAAAGTGAAATAAAAATTAAAAACTGCAAAAACATGATCTGAAATTACCTGGCTTTATCATGTGGCCCCCAATTTAATATTGTCTTGTTTTACTGCATTGTGTTTTTTTTTTTTTTATATTTCATTTTCAGGGATGGGAAGTGCAGGGACAGGTTATTGTCCATAATTTGAAAATGACCTGATGGCCCGATTCTAGTAACATGGTTTCATTGCAAAGCCAAACAATACAGTAGGGTCTGTCTTTTTCAGCTGGTCCATTTATAAGTCACACATTCCACAGAAAAATAACTTTTACACATGGCTATTCATAATTTCAACACTGGAGAGATGGTCCAAAGGCTTAAAAATCTGAGGAAATTGAAATTGGCCAGAGGTAGGCAACCACTTGTACGCAAAATATCGATAACCGGGCTATAGATAACAAAACAACCGTCTACAGCAGTGGAATTACTAGGAGTCATCTGAAATTTCAGACTGCATTTGAATAACAGATTATTTAATTTATGTTTTACTGAGAGGTATATTTTACTTTGGCGTTTTAGGCTTTTTTTCTGTTATGGTTTAGTGTTTTTGATATAGGCTTGGTTGCATTCGGAAGGTTGAACTTTAATAAGGTGGTAAAAAAAAAAAAAAACTTATAGACCAATAAGGTGGTACTTGAATAGTTTGAGAACCAGTAGCCTTACAGTTACAGTACATATGCACACATTTTATCTGGCATTAACGATGCGCTCCACATATTCAACAGTGGCTAGGTAAAGGTCAGTTCCATAACTATCTGAAGGAGTGAGAGGGTCTAGTGTCCGTTTGAGTTGGTCCATTTCCTGTTCAGTGAGGGAATTCAGGAGAACGGGAACTTGTACTCCAGCGTCTGAGGTACTAAAAAATCCACTTGACTCCCACTCTATCTCAGGTATTTGCAGGTCCTACATAATAGATAAAAAGTTACATAAAATTCATTGCCATTAAATGTGTAAACATTGATACATACATCTAACATTGGTGGCTCTGGAACAGGAGTCTGCATTTCTCCCATCTGCCACAGTTGATTGGGTGACAAGTTTTGCTCAGTTCTCATTGGGTGATTGTCCCATCCTTCACGAAACACATCAAGAGACATTTGCAGTCGTGGAATAAAAATGTAATGGCAACAGAATAGGTGAATCTGGTTGGAAATGTCAAGATGTCCCCAATCTTCCAATGCGTGAATAACATTATAGTAGACATTTGTCACTGCCATGTACACATCCCTCCACAATCTCTCGATTCTATAAAAAGACAAACAAAAAAATAAAAAATGGTAGTTGGGCTTAAGAATACACTATGGTAATTGAAAAAAAAAAAAAACATGTATATAAATCTGTCCCACAAATTGTCCAGTTACAGAATGTTTTGATACATTTGGGAGAGCTGATGTTTTGGACTGAGGGCTCTGCCTTTCTACAGCCCCTCAAAGAAAAATGGTTGAGAACCACATACTTTATCACCAACATTTACATCATATTAAAATGACTTTCTAAATTAAAATTTGGTAATAAAAAAAAAAAAAAAAAGCTGAGAATGTTTAACAAATTTTTCAGGCAATGTCAGTGAGGGAATTTGTTGGCTATGTATAATTTGTTTTTTGTTTTTGTTTTTTTAACATACAAAAAAACTCTCAATACAAAAAAAACCTATTTGTACTCTGTTTATAATCATTATATATCTTGTTTGTGCAGTTTACATACATCTTGATAAACAAATTATGTTATTAACACTGCAAACTGAAAAACCAAAAAAATATTGATAGACCCCCCCCCCCCCCATCTTCTTGAAAACATTTGACTATTATGCAAGGAGGCTAATTGAGATAAATATACAGTGCCTTGCGAAATTATTCGGCCCCCTTGAACTTTGACCTTTTGCCACATTTCAGGCTTCAAACATAAAGATATAAAACTGTATTTTTGGTGAAGAACCAACAACAAGTGGGACACAATCATGAAGTGAAACGAAATTTATTGGATATTTCAAACATCCACCTGTGTGTAAACAAGTCTCCGTATAAATGCACCTGCTCTGTGATAGTCTCAGAGGTCAGTTTAAAGCGCAGAGAGCATCATGAAGAACAAGGAACACACCAGGCAGGTCCGAGATACTGTTGTGGAGAAGTTTAAAGCCGGATTTGGATACAAAAACATTTCCCAAGCTTTAAACATCCCAAGGAGCACTGTGCAAGCGATAATATTAAAATGGAAGGAGTATCAGACCACTGCAAATCTACAAAGACCCGGCCGGCCCTCTAAACTTTCAGCTCATACAAGGAGAAAACTGATCAGAGATGCTGCCAAGAGGCCCATGATCACTCTGGATGAACTGCAGAAATGTACAGCTGAGGTGGGAGAGTCTGTCCATAGGACAACAATCAGTCGTATACTGCACAACTCTGGCCTTTGTGGAAGAGTGGCAAGAACAAAGCCATTTCTTAAAGATGTCCATAAAAAGTGTTGTTTAAAGGAAGAAAACCTGATGGAGTCTGCAAAAGACCTGAGACTGGGATGGAGATGTCATGGTGTGGGTTTTATTTTTGTATTTAGCTTTTATTTTGAAATAAGTTCTGTGGTTTTGTTTCAGTTTGACTTCCAGTCCTGGTTTCCCCTGTCTTGATTGTCTGCCCCGCCCTGATGTGTTTCACCTGTGTCTGTGTCTATATGTAACCTTTGCTTCTCTCCCCTTGTTGCTGCTTCATTGTCTTGTCAACATTTGTTCTGTCCTGTTCCTGGTTATGTGTTCCTGGTCATGTGTTCCCTGTGCTTTTGGATTTTGAGTTAGTTTTCTCCTGCACTTTTATTTTTTCATCATTAAATTCCTTTTATTTTGGCATTCCTGCATTTTGGGTCCTCATTCAGTTCACCCCGTGACAGAATGAAGCAGCCACTAATGGACTCAGCGGATTGCCTTTTTTCCCACAAGTTTTTTTTTTTTGTGTGCCGATTGCCTACCTCGCTGCCTACCTCTTGCACCTGTTACTTGGAACCACCGCCAGGCAAGAAACTCCGCCTGGGGTGGTTATTCGTCTTGCACCACCGCCGGGCATTGATGTCCGTCCGGGGTGGTCCTCTGTTCCCTCCGCCCGTCCTGCTGAGAGGTATCCAGTGGAGTTCTGCCGGTTTTCACACCCTCTGTCTGCTGTTCTACGGTGACCTGTCCTTCCCTTGTCTCTTGCCGCCGCCAGACATTACCTTCGTCTGGGGTGGTTCTGCCCCCAGCCTGAGTCACCGCCGGGCATATGTCTTCGTCCGGGGTGAGCCAGCTCCTTACTCTCCAGACCCTCGGGAAGGTTGCCACTGGACTTCAGCTCCTGTCCCTGATCTGTTCCGTACTACTGACCTGTCTCTGGCCCATCCTCCAGACCCCCGCCACCCTCCCTGGCTCGTGTTTTTTGTTTTTAGGGACATCTGGGAGCTGTCCCTTGGAGGGGGGGTACTGTCATGGTGTGGGTTTTATTTTTGTATTTAGCTTTTATTTTGAAATAAGTTCTGTGGTTTTGTTTCAGTTTGACTTCCAGTCCTGGTTTCCCCTGTCTTGATTGTCTGCCCCGCCCTGATGTGTTTCACCTGTGTCTGTGTCTATATGTAACCTTTGCTTCTCTCCCCTTGTTGCTGCTTCATTGTCTTGTCAACATTTGTTCTGTCCTGTTCCTGGTTATGTGTTCCTGGTCATGTGTTCCCTGTGCTTTTGGATTTTGAGTTAGTTTTCTCCTGCACTTTTATTTTTTCATCATTAAATTCCTTTTATTTTGGCATTCCTGCATTTTGGGTCCTCATTCAGTTCACCCCGTGACAGGAGATTTGTCTTCCAACAAGACAATGATCCAAAACATAAAGCAAAATCTACATTAGAGTGGTTCACAAATAAACCAATCCAGGTGTTAGAATGGCCAAGTCAAAGTCCAGACCTGAATCCAATCGAGAATCTGTGGAAAGAACTGAAAACTGCTGTTCACAAACGCTGTCCATCCAACTTCACTGAGCTCCAGCTGTTTTGCAAGGAGGAATGGGCAAATATTTCAGTCTCTCAATGTGCAAAACTGATAAACCCAAGGACTTACAGCAGTAATCGCAGCAAAAGGTGGCGCTACAGAGTATTAACTTAAGGGGGCTGAATAATTTTGCACGCCCAATTTTTCAGTTTTTTATTTGTTAATTTTTTTTGGAAATATCCAATAAATTTCGTTTCACTTCATGATTGTGTTGTTAGAGAAATAACAATTGCTGTTTGAGAGGACCGATGAAGAAGAGGCAGAAGTCAGGATGTCTTATACAGGAGAAGTTTATTTACCATCGTTACGGGACCCGGAGACATGAATATCAGACATTGCGCTAGTCCTACCATTCAAGTCTGCCTATGCTTCCACAGAAGAGGGATAAAATACCATCTAATTGCGTCATACTGATACGTAAGCAAAACATTCGGTGGCGCCCGAGCACCACAGTCAAGGCCGTGACAGAGATAGTACGACTGTACAGTTTGACCCACGGATAATACGAGTTTACAGCTTGACCCAGTAAGATAAATAGTGATTTAATATTATCCTTCAACAGTGTCCCACTTGTTGGTTCTTCACAAAAAATACAGTTTTATATCTTTATGTTTGAAGCCTGAAATGTGGCAAAAGGTTGAAAAGTTCAAGGGGGCCGAATACTTTCGCAAGGCACTTTATGCAAAAAAGTATTCGTTTTCACCTTTGATTGTGCACACTCTTGCCCGAAATAAAACTGCCAACTCCGGTCCCGCGAGCAGAAAACATGAGACGAGCGACTGCAACGTTCTCTACACCTTGATCCGCTCGAACCCTGATTCCAAAAAACATGTCATTATATTATGTTAGTAAATAACGTCTCACTCACACAAAATCGGATATCCGATTCATAGTAAAGAAAAAATAATAATAATCCTTTTATCTCCCAATAGCCAATGACACAAAACCTGCTCCTGAAAAGAATGACTGAAGGTGCATTAAAAAAAAGGGGTGAACACATATATTATAATAGAGGTTGAATTGCACCCCTTTAAATCTGTGCCTGCCCAAGTTATTGCACAAAAGACTCATATCCCTTACAAAGGCTCTTTTAACATGTACTGCAAATAATTTTGGAACACCACATCTGTGATAAGCTTGTAATAGCTAGCTATGTTGACCAATCAAATTCTTGCTGTTTGATATCTTCATTGTGTCAGTTCCACAGCAGGAATATGGATGACCTTCAATTTTTGTATAAATAACGGAACATAAATATTTTGCATTAGAATGAGTTGGAAGGGAAGTGTAATCTTCTTTTCAACTACTGAGTACAGAAGATGAATAAAGTACCTTCATTGAAGACTTCTTTTTCAACCGTTATGATCTGGTTTATTATGGGTGGACACACGCACGCACGACAGGATTTTAAAAAAGGAACACAGAAGTTTTGGCCCAAATATAGTAAATGAGGAGGATGCCCTCTTCAAATCTTGCACTCATACCAATTGGTTGTGTGCACACTATTTAGTTACCGAGTCACATGAAGATTGAATGTTGTGACGGTGACTTATTAAAACATTATTCCTTTTCATATAGCAAGGAATCAAAATCATGAGCTGCTACACTGAACTGTAGACAAAAGCATGAACCACATTTGACCTGGGGCAAAATATTAGAACAAGCTAGATTAGAATTTAAAAATACCTTAGTGGGAAGCCAAACTTGTCCACTGATTCCTGGAAAAATGCCAGCGTTGTTTCTGACCGATTGTTATTGGCAACTCCAAGATACATGATCTGAAACATATTGTTAAAGAATGTAAATTACAAATTTTACTATAAATACTTAAGGCATTTAATGTAGTGTCAATAAGGGCTGTTTCTCAGTTACTGTAGGTTCATACTATGAACACACTGACTACTTATGTGAGATGTCGATTTCATTTCTTTTTTGCTGTGGTTTACTTTCCCTAGTTTTTAAGATTTCATATTTATTAATGCATTATGGGCAAAACCTACCAACATGACATTTTTGACTGCAAACTCTAGATAATGGATAGAGCTGGGTCAAAACTTACGAGTTCAGTGAGTTCCAAAGATTGCATTTGGGTAGAAATGTCCATCCATCCATCCATCCATTTTCTACCCTTTAATCCATTTCTGGGTCAGGGGGGTGGCAATCAGAGATGCCACCCAAGTCTCATAGCACCAGCCCCTCACTGACCCTCTGCAGGTGGTGAGTCCACAGGAGGACGGCTGCTCTCTGAGTGTGAGCATAGCCTTGATCTTTCAGTGGGGGCTTTGGGCAAAGTGGGGTTAAGTGTCTTGCCCAAGGACACAACGACAGCAGTCATCAGTGGGAGTCGGTAGAGAAGGTGCAGAGGTGGGAATTGAACCCACAACCTTCTGGCCTTAAGACCAATGCTCTACCAACTGAGCTACTGTCGCCGGGTAGAAATGTGAAAATCTTAAATGAACTCTTGAGGGTTACAAAACTCAAAATCAGGCTAATAAGTCAAATTATGAGAATGTAGTTTCTGCTTTAGATGCAGATGTCCCCAGAGTGTAGGGCTGGACGATATGGCCAAAAAACAAGTTACCACAATTAATTTTTTGTTTCCTCATACTGAGCCATTTCTATTTAATTTTGTACATGCAGTTGATTCATAAAACGTGACACACGCACGCACGCATTTCTTTTTAGTGCTCAGATAAATCTGTGAAGCAAAACTTATTTTTTTCAGTGAAATAAGGAAACAGTTATTGTGCATGTAAATTATGCCATTTCTTTGAGTCCAGGTGAAAGCACATTATAAACCGGCACCATCTTCCCTTAAGGCTCACACAAAGCATACCTTTCTAGAGTAGCCATCGATGCCTCCAAAGATGACCATGTTATATCTGTAAAGACAAAAAATACAAATGTCATGCCTCCAAATGTACATTAAAAAATAATCATTGATCCTACCTAATCAGCTTGTGGTTGGTATCAATATGCACAAGGCTTTTGGGACACGGGACAGAATAGGAGCGTCTCACTGTGCACCTTAACGAAGAGAGTCTCTCTAAAACACCAAGGGTGTCGACTCTGTGGAGAGATGCACGGACACGTTCCCACTGAACGAGGTGGCCCCTGGATTTAAGGGCACCTTTCACCATCCTGTACCCGCTGTCTGGCATAATTGTTTTTATATCAGCCACCACACTGTCCAACTCCTGATCAGACATTTCACTGTACAGGGCAGTAACAGATAAGTTGTTTTTGGCCATTCTGCGGTGGATTGTAGATCTTGACACTCCCAACAGACTTGCAATGGCTGTGCTAGATAATGGAATGTTGAGCAAATACTTTAAATATTCTGGATCTATTACACATTTTGGCCGGCCTCTTCCAACAGCTTCAAACTGGAACACAAAGATCTGATCACCATCTCTTGTGTCCCGCACCAATCTGCACAGTTCTGCAAGTGTGTTCACAATACTGTTGGGAACATCAAAAGTATCTGACATTGCACTCAGGAGAACAAGGTCCTGAGTGCAGATGAAATCTAGCCGGTCCAAATCCAAAGGTCTGTGGTCCATCACATTCTGGAGCCGGGTAAAAAGCCTTCCCAGGATGTAATTTGGAGGACTCTATAAAGAACAAAGAAAGAAAGAAAGAAAGAAAGAAAGAAAAACATACAACCAATTAGCTTACACGTTCATAGTGTCTTATTTTGTGTATAGCAAAAAAAAATAAAAAAGATCAATTGTGGCTTTGGGAAGTTTTGTGTACCTGTGGATCCTTCAGTAATCATATCTCTTAAATTTAATGATATCGGGGTAGTGCATGTGACGTCAACAAATGTAAAAACTTGACAGTTATTATCCTTTGCTAATTTTATTACAGCAAAAGCAGCAAATAGTCAGCAATGGGAGGATGCAGTTTGTTTCTGCTGATTTTCACCAGATGTAAATAGGTAAACAGCAGGTTTATCCAGGTGTGCAGTACAAGGGAACAAATTTCGGACATTGTTTTGGCCCACCATAGAAATATTTATTTAATACATTCATGTTGCCAACTAAAGCCTCAGACGTGACAACATTGTCATCACTCCTATGTTATACATTGCATTTTTGAAGGGTACATTTGCGTTTTGCCTTTACACGTGTATACCTGGAGGGCAGGCCTGCTCAGAGGGGCGCCTTGGATTGAAATATCTTGACTTGGGGTGTGTTTGACTGCAGGTGAATATGAACATTCAAGAAGTAAACAAGTCACAACTGTAGAGGTTGCCAATATTAGTCTATCAACACACAATTGATATAGCGTGGGATCAATCGTGTGTGTTGGCTAATATCAGCGACCTCCACAATGATGGCGTGTTTTCTTTTTGACTGATTAAAATTAACTATATGAAAGCCCGACTCTGCACACCACACTCAACTTATCTAAACCAAACTTATTTTTAAAGGGAGGCTTAACATGAACTTAACCTTAACAGGGTTCTAGCAGGCCTCTGTTGAACCGTTCACATACTAGTTATACTAGGCACTTTTTCAGACACCGTTTTTTTCTTTCATATTAAACCAACTAGCTGAACTATCATTAATCCTCGATAACTTTACTTACTGTGTCCGTGTGTGAAGCTAGCGAAGAAGCCATTATTCCTAACCCACAATTCATTGCGCAGGACGTTGTTTTCCAAGCTAACTGCTGCCATCTGCTGGCCGCTTAGTAACCCAATCGCTGTCACAATAAATAAACGTATGTAGTTTTTTTAGTTTACTTTTTTAGTTTTTTTTGTTTTAAGGGATATGTATGGGTACATTTGAGTCGCCTTGAGCGATTTACATTTCAAGCTTCAATCTGAATGTACGATTATAATGGTTTTAATGACATCAACCAGCCTGCCAGTCAATACTTTGGGCGTAAAAAAGTTACGCACAAATCTCTGACATGGCAGGACTGTGTCAAAAAGATTTGTGTGTAAAACAGAGACACTTTGCGTAAAACAGAGACTCGTGCGTAAAAGAGAAAGTTGTGCGTGGGACTTAGATTTATTTTTTTTTTTTTACAACTTGGACATTTTACACACACATTGTTCATTTACACTTGCAAACTAAATTAATTACGCACACACGCATCTTTTTACGCACGCACACATCTGATTACACACGCTTAAATCTTTTACACACGCACACATCTTTTTACGCACACACGCATCTGATTACACACGCACACATCTTTTTACGCACACACGCATCTGATTACACACGCACACATCTTTTTACGCACACACGCATCTGATTACACACGCACACAGCCAAGGTTACGCTTGCAACTTTGACAAGGCAGGACTTTGTCAAAAGTGTTGTGAGTAAAAGAGAGACTTGTGCGGATGACTTAGACTTTTTTCGTTGATATTTTTTTACAACAGGGAAATTTACACACACATTGTTCTATTACACATGCAAATATAATTATACGCATGCAAAAAAAAAATACGCACGCACACATCTGGTTACACGCACACACATTTGTTTACACACGCACGCATCTTGTTACGCACAGACACATCCGGTTACGCACACACAAATCTGGTTACACACAGACAAATGTTTTTGACACAATTAGATCTCTATAAAAAACATACCAGTTATAGCTACCTATTGACAGAATAATAGTATTCAGTGAAAAAATAAAAGTAACGTTATATAATTGCCAAGTGTTTTGTACTAAAAAAGCTGTATCTTTGTCAGGAGTACAGCTAACAACACTCAGAAAATACAGACATAGAAAAGTTTAAATTTTTAAAAAATGTTTTTATAAAGTTGCATTTAGCCCATTCAGAAACATAAGGAGTTGAAGGTACAGATATTTGGGTTCAAAAGCAAACAATAAAAGTAAAAAAAATATATACATATATATATACATAATTTTATACATATTTTGTATTCAGCTATCAATCTTGAGTAACTTTACTTTTGCACTTCGTATTTTGCCAAAAGAGATGTATTGATATAGTTAAATTCAATAAATTTAGATGTTGAATATGGTTTTTGGTTAGAACGGGTTGTACCAGTTACCAGCTGCTCCAAAATTCATTAGTAACGTAATGAAACATGCTCTGTGGTGATATTTGCAAAAAAGTAATACGACTGCTAAAATGCATAGGACATTTAATAATTATATACAGTAGTAGGTCTATGGTCCAGATGCTTATTTTAAATGTTTTGAAATTGGCTCATCTAAAGTCATGATTCATTTCTGTTAAACTGTTTATTGAAGGATTTCTACACATCTGTTGAATCTCATTTTAAAACAAACTGTTGAGATTTAGTTTGAAGCCAATTTTCAGTCAATAGACCCTCACATCTTTGAGCGTCTTTCACCTTGCTTGTCTTTCTGAAGCGGATGAAAGCTCATGGGGAAAAAAAAACACATTTTGGATAATTTAGCAGTGTTCCCGGTGCTCCATACATTTGCCAAAAGGCATGCTCTGGCTTCAAAGCCCAGCTGTCAGGCGCGACGGGCTGCTATGACGGCGGATGACGGTGAATTGAATGACTTTCCAGATTTGATCAAAGATGGAGTGCAATGCAGAGAGACACTTTGGCACTTTTTTTGAATTCCACCAAGGTCTAAAAGTCGGGCTGCTTGTTAGTGTGAAGCCTTGTTTTCACCACCGGTAATTCTTCAGAAGCCAAACTTTTTTTTTTTGTATTACTTTATTGTCATCCTTATTAGTTCACACTTTTCCCTCACAATACATACAGCATAAAGAGACACATCTCCTTTGTTTCACACTTTGCAACTTGTGTCAAAAAAGCTAAATAAAAACTAAATAAAATAAGGATACAAGCAAGTAAAACAATAAACAAAATTAAGATAAATTTATCAAAAAATATAAATGAATGTCAATGTATTCTTGTATAGCCTCAACAGTATAATCTCAGAGGACTCAACAATATCGCTGAAATTGCCGGTCAATTATCATTTCCCTAAATGTACGTCTGGGTTTGATCCTAGTGGCTGCGGTTGTATCCCATCCGACCAATTAGCGGCGAGCGGGGGAGGCAGGTGTTGTAGGGAGGTGTCGGTGATTTCAAGAGTATGCGTCGAATTTGCTGGTTGTAGTTTGGCAATGACGGCGAATGCGATAGTAAAGTTCAGCTCCAAAAATCAAGAAATTGAAGCCGGAGCAAGAGGAATATTTTGCAAATGTCATTGCTGCAAAGATGTTGTGGCTCTACTCCCCACGGGCTCCGTTAGTGGCAAAGGAGATGGCTAAAGCTAGGCTAAATGCTAAATGCCTCTCACTCGGGAGCATTACATACGTCACGGTAAACTCGGATCCAATCGTTTCAATCTGCAAAAGGAGTTGACCCCTCCCACCTGTTAACGAAGCAAAATAAGACCAGGCTAGTACACCCCTATTCATGCCATTTCAACTATTATTATTTCAAGTTTGACTATACAAACGATTCAAGCGTCCATGAGCTTGCACGTTACACACCACAGGTTTCTCACTAAAAGGTGGGAATCAACTTGTCTATTAAGGTGAAAGTAAGTGACTGCAGTGGCATTTGGCTGACGGGTATAAATGATCCGCAGTTGTTCTTAGGGGAAGACAAAGCGGTAATGGCAAACACACAGATAAGCTCTGTTCCTGCGGCGCGCCAAGACAAATGGTCTCATTACTCCTGACCGAAGCTATGCACAACACGGCTTATTCAACACGGGCATTCACAACTATCTTGTTGCACAAAAAGTAGCATTAGAAAGCAAGAAAACTTAAATGGTAGCTATCTCCAAGCAAAGGATTTCAGAATTTATAGTGAAGTAGATTCAAAGTGATTCTGACGTTTTTGATCTACTTTAGATGTTTCATGCTTGATAAACATGAATGTGGTATCTCGTGTTTTTCAAGGAGACGAGAGAAAGGCTTTAGATTAAACTTCAAAACTTGATAAAATATGAGGTAATAAATGCTTGAATCAAGTGGTCCTTCTTCTAAATTTGAGCACATTCTGACTGTCTTCAAACAAGATTTACCAATGGGACAAAGCCATTTAGTCTTGTTTCAAAGGCTGATATTGCAAGAGAGACATTTCTTGTGTCTTTAAAAAAATAAAAATAATTTTAGCTTGTCCCATTCTGCGCGTGTGTGGGCTGTAGAATGTTTCATATTTAAGTACAACGGTGATATAAGTTGTGTAAAATACCTTTTATTGTCACACACTTG